ATTCCACAATGCTTTGCAAATCATGTAAATGATTTTGATTATTAGCAAGAAAGTTTTTTCTATACTAATATATAAAAAATCAAATTCATTCCTTTCTTGTCTTACTTTGGTGTTGTTTTTCTATTTTTTGATTGCCAATAGCAAAACCTGCAAATTCATATTATTCTGTTTGCTATGGTAATTAAATTAATCTGATTAACTAAATCAATACCCTAAATTTCAGCAAAACACAAGAAAATGAAAGTAGTAGAACGCACAAAATACATCCCTCAAAAAATGTTCATCAGAAATCATAAAAATTCAACCTAATAGAGTGCATTTCATATATTTGAAATAAAATCTACAGTTTCTAAATACAGGTCGTATTTTTTTCTCCTCTGTGAAAATAAAATAAAATGACTACCTACTTTGTGCTTATTTATAGTGAGCAAAAGAAAACAATGTGTTTGAAGACTATAACTATGAACTATCCTTTGACAATTCTTTCACAGAAGAAGGAAAACCAGTAACTTTGGTACTTTAAGAATTATTTTGTATATATCAGATATATCAAATACACTCTAGTAGGTTCAGTCTGCTGAGACTGCAAAAAATGTTAAATCCATTTATATCCATTTTTGTTCAGTTTTTTTTTTCAGCATATTTTGCTATACTGTAGCACCTAAAATGTTTTTCAAACGTTATATATCATTTTTAGCTTTTGCCTTACTGAGTGAAAAGAATAATTTCTAAATCCACACACAAAAGTCTAAATCGGCTGCTTTAGCTTGTTATAAATCTTTTCTTCTTAATTTGTCATCAAATGCATGTCAATAAATTAGAAAATTATTATTCAATATGTATTAAAATCTATGGAAATAGATGTATCAAATGTTTTCACAAAAATAACCCAGTTAAAATATTCACACTAAATTCTCACTTTACACCCATTACGTACATATAAACATTTTTTTTTTCATTCATAGAATGATAGTGATGAATATTATTAATAAGTTTCATTTAATAGCAAGTGGATGAGATATTTTTCAAAATGCCAATTGCGTTCATTATGTAATATTAATAAAAAAATTAAATACATTTATTTAGTGGTGCACTGAAAAACCCAAGAAAGGAAAAGCATAGACTGCTTATGTCATAAAAAATTGAATTAATTTCCTTAAATTGAGGTGAAATATTAGTGACCTGAAAAAATGACTTAAATTACGTATGTACTAGTGTGCATAGCTAATCTATTCCTCTTACAAACACAGAAATGTTATGAACATAATTTGTCCTTGGAGCAGTTGTACAAACATACATTATCCAAAATCAATGGGATAATTTTGAGATTAATTAATTGAGGCATGCATAGTTTTTAACTTCTAAATAATATTAATGATAACACAAAACTAAAGATACACGTAAAATGGTACAACTTTCAGTGACAATTTATGTCCAATTATTTCAAAGACTGTGAAAGATGCCATCTGATAAATGAAGGCAAAAGAGGTCAATTAATTTAGAGCTATTTCTGTCGACCTATTTGAATGGCTAATCCATGTCATGAAGCCAATGGGATACCCTTATTACAACAATATTCTATTGTTTACTTGGTCTGATGCCTTGGTTTTCCATGCCAACCAGGTTTTCTAAAGTTCTTTTTCTTACTGGCAGAAGGTTGGTTGTCAACATCTCTGTGATACACCACTTGTCCTGCATAAACAACAATATATTAAATGCTCAATATATATACACTATTACTAATGACCTGACATATGATATCCTTAATAATAAGATACATGTAGGAAGACTGACTAGCTCAGTGGTTAAGCAYCAAGCTTTACTGCATGTGGTTGCAGCAGCTCCCCAGACACAGGGTCTTGAATTATTATTGAGGAGAGATTGCTTYATGTGCAAATGGATCTTCACATTCTCTTGAATAACATTGTAAACCTTTTTACTTTCCCCTAACCCTGTAGTGGACCTTKAAGAGCCACTGTACTGAGAACACAGTGACGACCATCCTTWCTGCCTGTGACCCCATAAKCTGGAGGCRATCTTATTACTGCTGTAAGCTGGTGTAAAAGACAGTGTARTCTGCTCAAGTCCCCCAAACTCTTGTAAACTAAGAACAGACCTGTTCTGTGATCCTGATTAAATCAATCATCACCTATCTATCACCTACCTTTTTTATGAAGCTCTTTCACTTCATTCCAACCTGTGGATCAAACAAGAATGCTATAAATTATTGAAACACAATCACAGTATGTCTAAATTTGACCAAATGCAGAAATCGTGGCACTGTTCTTTCCCCTAAAGGCAAGGTTTTTGTGACCATGGTCCATAATACAAGCCAGCCATTTTGAATCGATTTTGAATCATCATCATTCATGTTCATTCATCAATCCCAAAATGTAGTGGGTTATAGTAATAAGGACTATGCCATGATGGGTGTCAATGCAAAGACATTCTGCTCTATTTTATCATTTTATAAGAAACACTGATACAGATCACTTTGTCTTCGCATTTGAACATATCATTAATTATATACAAAGCTGGTATGTACAATCTAAGCTTTACCTTTCATAAGATAATTGACAGCTTCTTCTAAGTCGAATTCATCAGCTATTTTAGGGGAGTGTATGGCTGAGTCACATGAACCAACACTGTTCACGTCAACTCCACTGTCACTGTTGTATTGTAATTCTTCTAAAGAAACAAAAACAACATTTATTCAACTTATAAGTTATGAAGGGGATGTTCACAATAATCTCAAATGGCAGTCTATAGTGGGCAGCAGGGATGTGGCAAGAAACGAGATTTGGGAAGGAAGGATGCACACACGGTAAAAAGCTTGAAAATTTGTAAAGTTAATAATATACAGTAGTGTTTTTTTTGTTATAAGCCAAAAGAATTAACTTGTTTACACATCACATAGAGAGCACAATTTGTTTACAATGTACACAAACTTTGTCTATGACATTAGTCACGTACCAAATCTCTAAGGAATAACATGTAATTTCTAATTAAGGGATACACCATATTCCAAATCAAAAAGATGAACAGAAAAAAGAAATGCTATCAATACTATAGCCGGAAAATCTTGAATGTTGTCTGATGCTAACTCTGTATTCAAAACCTTTTAGCTTTCTATCAAATATCTTTATTATTAATTGGCGTTCATTGAGCTAGAAATAGCTAGCATATTGATTAAGTCTCTCCTAAAAAGTACACATTAATCAATTAAGTATTTTACTGACAGTATTAGGTTGATAATATTCTACACCATATTGTCAAAACATTGTCCTTACCWGTGGGTTTAGATTTGGCTTTCAGAAGAGCATCTCTATATGAGAATACAGCCCCAGTGTTATTACTACTATTTTTCTCTTCCTTTTCCGTTTTTGAAATTGAAGTTGAATTATCAGTCGTTTTGTTACATTTTTCTATTTTTTGTACATTATCGTTTTCTGCTTTCAAATTCAAAGTCTTTGATCCATTAGAGAAATCATTAGGCTTTGCAATAAAGTTTCTGTTGTGACTACCCCTAGGATTTTGCCTTCTGTTATTTTGCTTTGTTTCTTTTGGAATGTCTTTTTTGCCTGAATTACTTCTTTCTCTACTTTGAAAGTCCTTCTTTCTCTTTCTATGAGATCTTCTGCCTTGAGACTGCCACCCTTCATCTTCATCCCAGGCAGACAAATTAGAAATATCACCATCAACAGATTCATCAACTTTAAGATCAATTGGATCAGGAGATCTAGAATTGTCTTTTAGGTTGTCCTTATCTACTAGAGGTCCATCTACAGATGAATCCATCGAAACATTACTGGATCTACTAATGTCTTGAGGGTCAGTTTTGCTTGGTTCCTTATTTGAAGCACTATTATCAATCTTGTAGATGTCATTGGAAGGTTCACAAGAAAGTAGTTCAATGGCCGACTGAATGAGTTTATCAGTTGAGAGAGGATGACCAAATGGTGGAGAAGAGAGTTGACGTAATTCTTCTGGTGAGTCTGAAAGCAAAAATGAAAAAAAGGGAATAAATAAATGAATTGTCTTGTCATTTTCTTGCTTTTATGCCTCTTGGCACATAAGGCCTCCATAAGACCTTTCCATATTTCTCTGTTGGCTACTGAAGCCCTATATATCCCCTGACCTCCCATCTGCATCTTTTCTTTTGCTCAAGGTGGTAATAAATTGAATAATAAAAGAAAAAATATATATGAAAAAATACAGCAGATTTTTCAATACAGTATTTGAATAATCAGTGATCTTACCCGTTGTTTCCGAGTCCAGTTGTTCAACACCATTCTCTGTTGTATCCACAATATTTTCCTCAATTGACTGCTTTTTATAACTTTTTTCCTCAGGTTTAACAACAGAAATATCAGCRACCATACTCTTATTCATTGTCACAATTCTTGAACCACTCTCTCCAGAATCTAATAATTTATTTTCAATTATCACACTCGAGTTCGCGTTCTCTACATTAGATGCTTGATCAGATGCAGTTGAAGATTTTTTCTTTTTCTTCTTGGCTTTCTTTTTAGCAGATGTACTAGGATTACTAGGAGGAGTAACAGTTTCAATAGTATCTTCATTTGACTGGAGAGTCATATTTAGAAAAGTATCATTGAGTTTAAAGTCTGTAGAAGTAGTRTGAATGCCATTAATTCCAAACTTGTTCGAAATATTTATAGTAGTCGTTGGCAGAGTTAAAATCTCTCTTGCAACAAGTGTTTTGGGTTTTGCCCTATACATTTCAAACTGCTTTTTTGGCAATGCAGCAAGCTGTCGTGCCATTTCCTTGACTTGATCAACCTAATGAAATTAAAAGACAAAAGGTCAATAAGTATGCGTTTTAAAGTAAAAGAGAATGTTATAATTATAATCTTGACATAGCTGTTTCTTTGCTTTCTTCAGAGCTCATATTCCAATTTTTAAGGAAATAATATATCATTTAAATTTTGCAGCAGAGGGGGTTTCCTTACATGTCGCATCTCACATTCATAGAATGTACAWGTACAGTAAGTRAMCAAGTGTGGCAATATCAATGCAAATTTCAWGTCTTTGGGTGTTTCCTTACAAGTTATTTCTAAATTATCAGTTTCTAATCACTTCTGACATAATTAGTAGTTCATGGATTCTTATTGTCTGAAGTCAGATGAATATAAGTTCTAAAACAAAAGCACTAAATCTCCACTGAATCACATGGTCAAAACAGGTATCATTGAATACTAGTATTCTTTGTTTTACATAACAAACAAAGTTTTGATGTCATAAAACMTTTTCATTGACAAACACACCAACTGAATACTTGATAAGTAATGGAAAAGTGTGTTTACATGTGGAATAAGTTATATGTTGTAGAAATTTTATTGAACAAATTATAAACAAATTATATGTAAGCTCATAATGATCTAAATAAAAGATTACATGTACTAGTTGCTCGCTAACTATTCCATAAAATGTCTTTACTGTTTCATTGAAAGATTCAGCAAACTTAGGATTGATTCTGATTTTTGCCTCAGACATACATAGCAATCAAAACAAAGCTTAGAGGAATATTTGAAAACAATAGACACTCATGAATAATTGAGAAGTGTTCCTTTGTATAAACTACACTACAGAGTAAACAAAAGTGATTTTAAAATCTACAGCCAAAAGACAGCAAATATAGATTTGAAATGCTTTTTCATTATTATTCTTAAAATAATGAAATATTTTTTTTATTTTTGAATGATAGACTGCTGATTTGCAACAATGAAATATTTTTGCATGTGAAAACATTGACACCTACAGTGTGGCTTATAGTTTACACAATTTAATTCCAGTCAGTTCCAATTGTTATTAATCTATCAATGTACTTAAAAAAATCGTACTGTACCATAATAACTATAGATGTACATGGCCATCTACGATTCTTCTAAATTTAGAAAATATTTATAAAGCAATGATAATTTTTAAACAAAACATGTCACTCTTCTTACTATAAAAATATATGATTTTATATCAAGAGAATTCTAAATATAGAGTGACATGTTTGAAGCATCTCTTGCCTTTCTATTAAGTTATAAAACATGTTAACAAAAAAACAATTGTTTTTATTAAAATGTTAAAATTATTTGATCCCTGCAAGAAAACAGTTGAATTGTAACTTGGGTCAAAGGTGATGGAGGAGTAGCTTCAGATAATTTTTTTTGTCGAAAATGACGCAAGAGCATGAATTCCGAATAACTTAAGCTTAAGTTTAAAAATAAATAGCAAAATGTTATCAAAACCAACTAGAAGAAAACAACATATAATAACACTTATACTATATTATATAAATGGAAAAGCAATTAGCACGTTGAGTACTTTGGAAAAATGAATTTCAACTTCTAATACAATGGCTACAGAGCCCGTGAATTCTATCACGTACGTGTTTCATCAGTCTCATTTCGGTTGATTTTCCGTAGAACAACTAGATAGGTAGACAAATGACGGAAGATATGTGTAAAGCAAGACATATTCACTTTAAAACAGACTTAAATTTCCTCTTAAGAAATAACAGCAATGAGTTAACAGATCTTGGAATGACCTTACCACGTTGTAATATTGCTACCGGAGCGAGACTTTGTACACTGCCAAGACAAGAAATAGAAATCGTGCAAGAACCGGAGGTATTGCTCACAAGAAAGTCTGAAGCACTGCAGGCGTTTCTGATTGCACTGAAGATAAACCTTTTTTATCGGAGATGTTAGCAGCTGTAGTAGAGTGAATTTTGCGTCTAGTGTCGTGGCCAAAAGAGGGATTGCATAATGACCCCGAGGCCACACGTCACATGTCTCCCGGTTGTGTTGAATATTAATCACCAAACTTATTGTCTTAGAAACGGACGACAGCTAAACAAACKGCTAGCCAAAGCTGGCTATCACAAAATCAAAGTAAAATAATCCAACAAGAGAAATCTGCGCTAAAATTCACAAATAAGAAAGTTGTAAAAGATGGCGTTTGTTTGCATAGCAACCAAAATTTTTGAAAATGAAACATCTTTACGGGCACAAGTTGTCGACTTACCCGCTCTGTTTCAAGGGTTTTGGGGATGTTGTCGTAGAGTTCGAGAAATTTATCAACTTCATCTGCTCGTAATGCTTCAGCAAGTTCAACAGCGAGGGCAACTTCGTCCTGGTTTAGGCTATTATTCAGCAAAATGTCGTTTTGTTTTTCAGCCATTTTGAAAACTCCATTTCGGTTGTCAGCTTAAATGTTCACGCATGCGCACGAGCTTAGAGGGCGTGAGGGGGGAGTTTGAGAGGTGCGTCTCTTTTCCGAATACATTTTTATTTATCTATTTTGTTCCTTTTTTTTCCCTGTAATTTGTTAGGATCCGCGAACTTGAAAATCATCTCGTCATCGTGCTGTTTCGCACCGAGTGGTGCATAAGGCCTCTATCGAAAATAAAACTACAATGAAAATAAAACTACGAAAATCATCTACAATGTGGTAAAAGTCTCCTTCGCATTTTTTTTGTTTTTGTTTTAGGTCTTTTAGAATTCCTGGCCCTCGTCGAAATTTTCTTTCTTCAACTACAAAGAGTTTCTAAAGTTTAAAAATCTATCATATCATAATTCTGTATAAAATCGAAAACTGTATATATCGCTTTTAACGCCCTTACAAGCACCTGCCGACGCGATGTGTTAGTACGGGCCAGGCTCCTCTGGAGTCTTTCTTTCGAGTGAGTTCCAGAGTGCCTCGAAAGGATGAGGACAGATACCTACCCATGGAACCCATGGAATCTCCTGGATCCGTCACTGGTATTAATTGGTCAAGAAAACGTCAAGCTCCACGGAATGGTTCTTGTTTGTTCTCTACCTAAAAGGCAGTGAGGGAGTATGTGAACTGGTCACTAGACCATATATGATGAACTTTGCACTAAATAAGACAGCTATCTAAAATATTATGTCAATCTAATGCACTAGTCAAGGTAACATAGTCCCCACCCTGTCCCCGGCCGGTTGGAGGGGGGTTACGTTGACTAGTGCATAAGGTTGGTGAAAGTGACAAACGTTGATAATCAGTCATGGTAATTTTTAGCGCGTTGATGGTATTAATGTGGGATATGCGAAGCGGGATCATTTTCCATTTATTGCATATCTTTATTTAATTAGCTGATAAGTTTTATTTTTATTTCCATTTACCTTTTATTTATTTTCTAAATTTTCTAAACTCCCTAAATCGGGATTTCCCGGATCCCGCATCCCGCGCGCTACTCTCAATTCGTATCCAGTCTTCACTCTGTTTTAATGCCCCAGAACTCCTTGCGAATTCAAAATGGCGGAAAATACAAAGATCGAAAACGACGAGAAAACGTCAAACAAACAAATGGACGGTGCCAGCGACAGCTCAGACGAGGAAAACATGGATCAAGATGATGATTCTGAACCAGAAGAAGTTACCGAGAAAGTAGTTGACCCTGAAGTGCATAAACTAGAACTCGAGGTAAGCGTACTGGGCAAAGTTGAAGATCTCGTTGCTGTTCTCACATGCTTCTTAAGCTTATATTTTGCGCATGTTGGTCTGTACTCATACAGTATGTGTATTGCTTATGYTATTACTTAGAATGCTAGATATGTGTGCATTGCTATGAATTAGAATGCTAGATACAGGTATTAGAATTGTGGAACTCTGCAAAGTCAAGAAAATGTTTGCAATTAAAAGTTAAAGATATCAAGAGAAGTTAAAGATATCATTAATGATAGGAGGTATTCAAATAAGATGCTCTTTAATATGGCGATTGATATGAAGTACTGTAAGCTACCTCAGTATTTTACAGCTGATCTTGGCACAAAATGCATTACTTCAGGGAGGCATGCAGGTCATCCAAGGAGAGGATGCACTCCACAATTTATAATAATTGAGACATATTAGGAGTAAAATATTATAAGTTGGATCTTAGGAGGTTGTGCACCCTCTGCACCCATCAGCTGGATCAGCAGCTGAAACCTTTTTTGAAGTTTGTAAACATTGTTGTCAGGTGTCATAATATTTTTCCATCTCTTCTTTTGTAGGTCCAAGCTAATCCTTATAAGTATGATTCACATTTACAACTCATTAAGCTTGTACGAGCATCTGGAGACTTGGATAAACTAAGAGAAATAAGACARAACATGAGCAAGATATTTCCTCTTACTGAAGGTGTGAATTCAATTTCGTTGTTGTGTGAAGTTTTGCTAGAATATCTTTGCACTGTTAAACTCTTTAACCAAATAACTGTCAAAATGAAGACATATTTAGAAAGAGGAAACACATAATAGTTAGTTTGCTTCATTGAATTTTATTTCTAATAGTGATGGTTTATTATTTTTTCTCACTTCAGAACTTTGGCTAGAGTGGATAAAGGATGAACTTCCTCTTGCATGTTTACCTGAACACAGAAAGATGATCCTGTCTCTCTTTGAGCATGGAGTAAAAGACTACCAATGTAAGAAAATCATAATTTACAAAGAAAATAGAAAATCATGTCAAACTTTAGTATTATTCTAAGCTGCACAAATATCTACAGTACACTGTACATTATCAGAACATTTCATGCAATATCRCAACTWTTTTKCTAGTACAACGTACAGATATGTACTAGTAAAATAGTAAGTTGCGATATTGCATGAAATGTTCTGAGATATACATGTACGCTTGTTAAAAAATACTCTACAGTCAAAATAGCTAAAATTGAAACCAGATTTRWTATTCRRCCAAAGTGTTTACTTGCTAGAACAGCTCATAAWTTTCAAAACAATTATGTTCCACTTAATTGGGAAATGTAAACTAATAAATAAGTTGTTAACATGAAAACTCAGCTACATTTGATGCATGCATGATTGATAGACCTTTCACCATTTTTACAATAATGGTTGGTGTAWTTTGTTGATATTTTCAGCTGTGAAACTATGGATTGAGTATTGTCARTTCATAATGGACAACATGGAAGGTGATGATGGTCTATCAAATGTAAGAGATGTGTTTGAAAAAGCTATTGTTGCAGCAGGACTTCATGTCACAGAGGTAAGTCTTTGAGAAATACACAATGTATCAGCTGCAATTTACACTGTATTTTTGTTAAGTGAGTGACATTGCAGTGTTTTCCCATAATAATGTCACACAATCTCTATTATGAGTCATCATGAATCAGTTGGAACAAATCTTGTGATTTGGTTACACTATGTTTAGTATATAATCGTAATGTTTTTTAAACTGTACAGGGTTCATCAATCTGGGATGGTTACAGAGACTTTGAGATGGCTATTCTTGATTCATTTGAGGTACACAATATGTCCTGTAATCCTTGACATGCCTTTTATCTCTTGTGATTTATCAGTGAAATTACTACTATTCTTACTTCCATCTACATGTTGAGCATAAATCACACTCAGACACACTCTAGACTACTCTTAGACTTAATTCATGACTTTCAAAAATRACRGATGGTCACACTKGGCACTGGGCACTGGTCTTGAAGGGCAGCCTCCATAATATGATGATATCTTGCAAGACTGTCTTGTCATAAATAACATTATGTGAACTTACATGTACGCCATATCTGAACGTCTTGTATAAAACACAGCAAAGGCCATACATAGAACAAATAGCAAATTGTATAATATAGAAAGTTGAAATATGGACCTTATTTTAGTGCACTKCATGATTTCTTGCAATGAACTGGGTTGGATTGAATATTTACATGTGYTATATATGATTTTCCTAAAGAGAGGAATGTTTTTTGGTAGTGAAATAAGTCATGCTGTCAATTATATCATTGACACAAATTAATTTATTAATAATCTTGATCTTATGATTTTTATATGAAGCAAATGCTGACAGATGAGAACAAAAACACCATGGAAGAAAAAATGTATGTTTATTAGCAAAATATAGTGTGTGACATCAGATAATGTATAATTTTACATTTTTATTTTGGCTATAAAGAGAATCAATAATTTATACATGTATTGTGTGGGGATAACAAGTTGTTAATTTTATTTATTTTTGAATATAGTGAATCTCAAAAAGAAAGAGTTAAGTCACTGTTTAGGCGACAAGTTGCTATTCCTCTGTTAGGTAAGAGAATAGTGGACTATGCAATGTTGCAATCTTCCAGACGATTGTCTCTGCCGACTAGTCAAGCTTAATGATGCAAGCCTAGGGGCTCCTATGGCAGCAAAAAGCTAAAAAAAAACACTTATAAGTGGTTTTTTAAGGTAAATTTAGGTTTGACCATTCAATAAACAAGCGATCCAACCTAAATTTACAAAGAGTTGCATAAATTAACGCTCCCTAGGAAATTCAAATCCACAATAGTTTGATTGACAACACCTTATATGGAAGTCAAATATTCCATCATCTTTTCATAGTCGAAAATTCTCCACAATCAACAAATAAACACCCGTCGTCAAAGGGTTAAGCAGTTTTAAAAGAAATTCAGTTTTCTGTCTTCTYGGGGCCACTTCGTTCCAATTCAAATCAAAAACCATAAATGACATCATAGTGACAATAGTGGTATGAAAGGACCCTCACCCCAATGAAATCCTGGTCCATATGCTCCTGAATATTATTTTTCTTCTTTAATCATGTTTATATTTTGATTATGCTCTGTTTTATAACATGCAGGCATGCAAGGAACAATGAGGGATTTTGAAGACTGGGTAGAGGATGAAGAAGAAATACCAGAAGCAGTTGAGCAGGCGCATGCTAAAGCATTGGCCAAACTAGAAGAAATAATACCTTATGAAGATACTGTTGTAAGGACTGCAAACATATATCCATACTCTTTATATCACAGTGAGATGATGAGAGCATCTAAACTCAAATCAAGTTTATTAAAAAAAAAAAACATTACACATTGTCACAGAAAGCAAGGCAAAAAAAAGAGTAAGACGATGAACAATACTCACTCAAACTCTCAGAAAAGAGTGTAAGGAAAGACTGAATTTGCTTTACTTGGAAAGAGGTGCTTCACATCTTACAGTTGTCTGTATTGTCACAAATCATCCAGACCACATTTAAAAGTATTCATTGCTTCATAGTCAAATGTTATATACATGTATCTGTTGCAGGCCAGTGCAGAGCCCCCAAAGCTCACTGAATACAGGTCATATTTAGAGTACGAAGTCAAGAAGGGGGATCCTGCTAGAATACAATGTCTTTATGAGAGAGCAATTAAAGAAAACTGCCTTGTGGGTGACCTGTGGATAGAATACACTGGATATCTGGTATGGTGTAACTGAGCATGCTCAGTTTATGAAAAGTTCTATCCCACATGGATCAATGTTGGTACTTGTACTCTTTAAAAAAACTTTGTTTGCTTGGGTCTTTGTTGCATCAATGATAGTACCAAAGAAAACTTTATTCTCCTTAAGTGTTAAAGTCCATACTAGATCACTCAGCAAAGAAAATACGAATTCCTTCTGTTTTTCTTTCTGTTGCAAGGACACCAAGTTAAAAATGTCATCTGTTGTGCTCCCAGTCTATGAGCGTGCTCTACGCAACTGTCCTTGGGTTTCAGTGCTTTGGCAAAATTACATGAAAGCTTTGGTAAGTGAGTGCAATAAACCATCTTTTCAACTTTGATCACTCAAACCGGATAACCAAAAATGCTTCATAACAACTGAATATTTTTGTTTAGAAGGAAARATTTATATTCATGTTTTAATGTTTTACTGTTAATAAACACAGGAAAGATCAAAAGCTAAAGAAACTACAATGAAAGGTATCTAGCATCTTTCATGTCCAGTTTGCTGTTTCAGTGCCTTACTCAACAGTCAAAGTGAAAATAACCAAAGGGAGATCCCTCAAGTGTTGCAACCTTCAACCTCAAACATGCATTTGGGTTTAAAATTTTTGAATGAATAAAATAAAAAACTATTTTGAGAGGGCTGAGATGTTACAAATTATACTAATTTAGTGTTAATTAAGCCTTATCTTCCATTGAGCCATTATAATTTATTTACATGAAGGTTTTCCCAAAAACGTTCCAAAAATTATAAATGAAAAAGTGAAAGAATTTTTGCCTTTTGAGTCACTTTGGTTTAATTGTTATATAGAGACACTAGACAAGGCTTTGACCTGTGGATTCACTAACGCACAAGATTATCTTCAGTTATGGCATTGTTATTGCTCGTTTCTGAGAAGACAAATCCAAAATTGGAGTCCAGGTAACTCACAGAAGTACATTATTTTATTAAATGGAGTTTCCACAATAATCATCATTCCAAACATCTTTCAAAAAGATTAGAGATTACTATTGTTAGCAGACAACATCAACAGTCATGACTTAAAAAATGGCATTCAGTGAACATTGATTATCTAGTTCCATCTGTAATGGAGATAAAAGCGCTCTTTTCGTGGGGTGACAGCATACAAATGCTTTTAAATTTGATCTAGTTCCATTTGTGTAATGAACAAGACCAAATCTACAATTATAGTGTTTGTATATGGTCACACAACCATAAAATAACTTATATCTCAAGCTCACAGTCTACCAAGACTCTCATGTGTTTTGTAGTTGTCATGTAGTTTTAAAGCGCTTAGAACAGAATTGGATAAGCGCTATATAAATAGCATTATATTATTATATTATAAATGGAACTATGACACTCAAATTTAGCAAGAATGCATTGAAAATGATGCACTTTCAGAATATGAAGACAAAGTTAAAAAACTCAAAAATTATAGTTTGTGACATCATTACTTTAGTACTAAAGTAACTATAACTATAACTAACACAGTTAGTTATGTCTTTTTTTCAGATAACGAACAAGTCAAAGCTCTCAGAGAGGGATTTCAAAGTGCCATTGATTACATTGAACATTGTAAGTTGAAAAACAAAATGTTTAAAAATATTGAAGATTAAAAATGCAGTCATATTCAATGAAAGCTGCTACAACATGCAAAAAAACACTGTCAACAATCAAAACTGTTGAATTGTTTTAAAAYCAACTGGCACTGATTCCTAGTCTCCATACAATGTATAATCGCTTGAATCACCCTGAAATAAGTTTTCCCAATGTTTCTCTTTTGGAAACCGGAAAAATGGGAATATGAATTTGGAACAATTGAGTCAATCCTATGGACACTAAGATTGCAGGCTATTGCTACATGCGATGATTGCACATTGTGGTTGTATTTTTCAAGTTGCAAGAGTGCAAGTTAATGATCGTAATGAAATTTTTTTGTTTAGATTTTGGCAAAGATGGTGATTCTACAAATCTCCTTCGCAGGTACTGGGCACGTATTGAGGTGAATATTTTAAAGCATGGGCTAACAGAGTCTTCACCATGAGAAAATAGTCTATTGTTCATCTTTTTTTGTGTGGTAAACACACCAAAATGCTGTATAACAATAATTAAAGAAAAAAGCACTCAGAGCAAGGGGAAAAACAGGTTACAAACTTAATTTACAAAGTTGTCCAGGCTGAGATCATGGAATTATGATACCAGTAATGGCCAGAAATACTTAAAAAGCTTAATGTTTTCTGCTCCACATAAATGTACAGTGCTAATCACTCAGCTCCAATTGTTTGACCCAGGCCTTCAAGATGAATGACATAGAGGAAGCCCAAAAGCTTTGGGAAAAAGTGATGACTGGCCATGCTCGTGAGTTAGAGTACTGGTTGGAATATGCAAACTTGGCCAGGTATTAAATRATATACTTTGATATGGGATAGCTATGATTGTAATGTCCCATAGCCAGGATTTAATAACCTGATTATCAGAGAGCCTGATACTCAGGTGGAGATTTAATATGGAAAATGAGGTTACRTCAAATATCCATTCACAATCCGTTTCCATTCGTCGGTTTAAATGTTGAATTCTACAATATCCCCATATATAATAGGAATAATAAAGAGTAAGTTTTTGCTTTTATAACAATGTCTTTTTATTTTCAAACATAAACAAAAGCCCGAAAGGGATGCCGGTATACCATGGTCCTTTAATCACAGTAATTGAAGTGAAACTACTGTCAATACGATCGCTTAAATCCTCAGATCATGTCGTTCATTATCGTTATGCCGCAAGATATTACAGCGTGCTGTCCAGTCAGCCAGCGATAACCCTGAAGGAGCTACGCAGGCTTTGCTGAGTTTTGAAGATGAAGAAGGTTTGTACCACATACTTGCAATACACATTAACTTGTCAATCTGGTAACCAGGGCAACGAATGTCAATTTGCATGGAGAAATTAAGACCCACTGACWCTGTCACTACCGCACACTACCTCATCACTTACCTTTAGCACTGAGTCCTTGCAGGAAGGGGGGGATATGATAATGAGATTGTTGCAATCCTTTATCACATTCACCAGTCTCTTATATTCCGATTTTCACGCTGCGATTTGTAGCGCGCGATTTGGGGTGGACGCGTTATCGTTACGACATGCCATAGGCTCTAAATAAATCATAGAATGCAAGCGTCCATGGGAAGGAGGAGGCAATAAAAGGGGGAAACGATTTAGAGGCTGTGTATGAGTATCGATATAATCTGTAAGGTGTTTTTTTTTTGCAGGAACGTTGGATGAATGGGATGCATCATACTCTCGCTGCCATACTAGACTGACAATAACCAATGAACGACGAGCAAAGGTTAAATTAATCAATTATTATTAGTTTATAGCACTTTAATATCCTAACAGGTTTTTGGTAAAGGGAAGATTGAACTTAGTAGTGTCTGTAGGCTTGTGATTATTCCATCTTCATGCTTTTATCTTCTTCAAGGCGGCAGAGAAAGAGGCAGCAAGAGAAGCTGAAAAAGCTGCTTCAGATAAAGCAGCCATGGAAAAGAGAAAAAAGGCAAAAGTAGCGAAAAAAGACGAGAAGAAACAGGAAAGACAGAAACAAAATCTCAAAAGAAAGGTGATTGTGGAATCTGTTTATTTTTTGTTGTTATCAAAAACTTTGTAAGGCATGGTACATGTGTTCTAGAAAGAGACATAGATATGAAATTTCTGAAATCTTAACTCTCGGAAATGCCATTTCYAGCGTTTTGAGGCGTTATCCAAGACATATTCACCGCAGACACGGTCAGCAATATTATTAATAAAATCCCAAAGAATTCATAAGGAGGCTCTTCGCTTCTTTATTTAAGAAAATTCAAAATGTCGGAAATATTATTGGGAGGACTGTAGCCCCCCAGCTCCCCCTGCTCCGCGGTCCCTGAAATAACACTAGCCATGTGGGATAGACTCAAGAATCACTGTAAAAGCATGCGTATAATACTCCGGTTTCGAGATCTTATTTGTGCAGCCTTAACCTCGAACGCATGTGATATATTCTTTTATTGTAATGCAAACACTCTGTGTACAAAGAAGACAATAAAAATTTATGCTTGATTGAAGCTAAGCTTGCGCAAAAGAGAATTTGCCGAAACTGGGGTATTGTTCACGTCTCGGTATTCAACCATATAAAATAATGTACCAGTAACTTGTACATTGTGTTTTTATAATGAGCATGCGTCATAGCAGGCCTCTGACAACCCGTGCGGTGTAATCAATTATTAGAACTGAATAAAGCTTTTGTAATAGTTGCATAATTTGGTTTTTAGGCAAAAGATGAGAAATTCAACGAAAGACCCTCCTCTGCTACCAAGGATTTTTTAGAGCCTGTCACGAAGAAGCCACATGGTAAGTAGGTTGGGATCCCTGTGGYCTTAGAAGTTTATTCATTCTTTCTTTTTCAATCTCAGTTGAAGTATCGAATAATGTAAACGAGCAAGAAGAAAAAATGGAAGAACCTGAAAAGCCTAAATATGACAGGTAATCTTAGTGAGTAAGATGTGATAATGGGTGGGGCTGCCGAGAGGAATACTGAATTTGTAGTCTCTTTTGGGGTTAAAATCAACAGCAATTTTTCATCTTCATGAATGTATGTGAGTAGAAAGTGTTTCATAGTAGACAGAATCTAAGTCAAATAAAATCTGCAAACCGAACTTTGGAGACGCTGCTGATTTGTGGCGTTTTAGGGGYGAAGCTTTGTCTTTCAAGCCCTTTACTACAGGGCTGGGGCTCTTTTGAGGTCAGTTATTCAGCAAGCATTCAGTCCTCATACATTAAGTCCCATTTGCTGGCCGCAACGCCATAAGAAGCATTGAGATTTGCAAAGTCATATGGTTTGAATTTTTGGAACAAATAATGGAATATTTGTAAGAAATCGAACTCGTGAGCTACTTCAAAAGGAARCARCCCRAGAGCACTACAGTTGTTTTKYCATGGTTTCCTTCTCTTAAYAGGTCAGCAGATAAATGTAAAGTATTCGTGAGTAATCTTCTCTTTAAAGTCACAGAGGAACAGCTAAAAGAAAAGTTTTCTGAGGTTTGTACTTTTTGTTTTTCTATATAAAGGAAAACGGATACATCAAATGAGATARAATCATGAATTTATTTATTTCTATACGTTTGCTAACCCTAACCCCTGCCATAGTTGGAAATCGATATTCTGTCGCTCTTTCTTCGTTCTATGACATTTCTATTGTTGTGAATGTTTTTCAGCTCGGTGAAGTGGTTGATGTTCGAATCGTTAAAAACATGGCCGGTCGATCCAAGGGATWTGCATACATTGAATTTAAAGACGAGGTAAATAATCAAATGGCTATTAATCTGACAAAATATGCATTATGTCTGCTTGTTTGTTTGATTTATTTCATGTCTGTTTGTCGTAGTCACCTGTCCCGGCAGCACTTGCGCTCGATAGGAGCAACATGGAGGGAAGGCCTATGTTTATCTCACCTTGTGTCGACAAAGCGAAAAATCCGACGAAATTCAAGGTTAGACCTTATAGTTATTTTGTTACATTTCCGCAGAATACCACACACACATGGCATACAGTAGGAAGGCAGTCGCGCAGTTAACAATCTTGTTCCCAGGCATGACGGACAAACAAAGGGGACAAGGAACTGGGAACGAAGCTGTGCGGGAAAGGGAGAGCCTACGTAGCACTCAGTTGATGTAATATATTCATAAAGATATAATACAAAACACATAATACAATAGAACGAGAAACAATGGAATACAATACATTTTATGAATACATTACATCAACTGCGTGCTACGTAGGTCTCCCCGCGCGGGAAAAGCCCCTTGCATTTTTATTTCCCTGCTGCGTAGTGGTCCAAAGGGGGCTGGGACGGAAGAAGTATGAACAGAGGGAAGACAAAGGGAAATTGTATATAGATACGATATAGAAATGAAAGAAAGACACAGTGCACAAGAGGGGGGGCAATTCCGGGAGAAAGACCCTTAGGAATGAATTCGGAAAAATTAATTTCCGACCTCGCTTGGATTCGAACCCGCGACCTTCGGATTTGTACTACCGGTGCTCTACCAGCTGAGCTACAAGGCCAGACTGGGGGCAGATCGGGGCGAAATAGATGTTAGGTTGCGGTAATAGAACAATGTAAAGACATGAATATTCATGTCTCCCATTTAATAGCACTGTTTTACTATGACGTCACATCGAAACATTCTATTAATTTAACGTTAAGGAGTATGSTCACGAGAGGATAAAATTGTAGACAAAAAAAGATTTATAAAACAGCATTCGATGGACAAGGACAAATTAATAGCAACAAAATTCCCTTAAATAGAGACCAGTAATYATTTGGTGGCAAACTTTCGAAGAGAAAGAGAATATAATCTATCCCGCACTGTAAACGTGCTCTGACGTCACAGGCCAAAATATCCCAGTGATGGTAAACCATTTTTTAACTGAGATGCCATCRCCTGTGACATTTTCGCTTGACTAGAGTGAAGAGCGGGTATGTTTTTCCCACGAGATCGTTCATTATTCATGAATATTATGTATAATCGCCGTGTGAAAGTTTCATAACTTGAAGCCTGTGTCGTATAATGCTTGTTGCGGTCTCACGCTYGTTTGTTGGAGTTTGTTGTCTTTTAATGCCGAAAAGCGAGTTCTCTGATGTCCCGTCGCTATTTTCCTTCCCTAATGTGAATTCACGTGTTGTCAACTTGATGAAAGTACAATAATAAATCGAGAAATGAAACTCGTCGATCGCTGGATTCACATCAGATGAAGTTTMGGTCGGCGTACGAGTTTCCCGCCTTAAGACGCGGCGGTTTCCCGCCTCTAATATCATGTTGTGGGTTGCGAATAATACACAGACGAACGAAGTTCTAGATTTTTCTCAGTCACGTAGTCTTGTAAAACTCAGTCACAATCAAGGCCATAGTTACTAGTTGGAGTCTTTTATCTATATTTTAGGTTTTACGGTCATTTTTCTTAGAGTTTCGTAGATTTTCAAAGGAAATCTTATTTGGCTATTCGTATGTATTGGTGGTTAGAATATAAAACAGTTGCCTTGTGGCGTCTCGAATTGGTAATAACCGCAGGAAATGTCAATCATGGTGTGATTATAGTCTACTAGGTTTAGGCAGATTCGACGGTAATTTCCTTCCATTTGGATATTTGATGATAGCTTTGAAGCATGTTATATTAATATAGGGAATTTTTTTCTCGGTTTACAAAATGGGACGGACGTTAAATTTAATTAAAAACAAAAACAAAACAAAAAAAACATGAAAATTACAAGAGAGGAAATGGAGAAATTACGGAAACATTGAAGAAAGGAAAAAAAAAAGATAAATGTTATTAAGCTCTAAAGTCAACGACAAAAAATTATAAAAAATAGGAAATAACGGTCTTGACGGATGTCTATGGCCAAACAAAATATTTAGAAAGAAATAAGACGTTAGGGCATCAAACATTGCCAGCTTTCTTTAGTATACAGTCGCTTCCACGCATCTGCGCTGTTCAGATATCAAGACAACACACAACAAAGCCATTTGGATAAAAATGTTTTTAAAACTCCCGGAAAGGATTTCAGATAAATACCAAATCAGACGTTTTTCAWCTTGATCTCGAATATTATGCTAAACAAATGAAAACGTGAAGAATGCAAATGACTTTGTTGTTKTCTAAATTATTTCTTAGCAACTGAACAGCGACGATAGTAAAGACACCATTAAGACTGTTTTTGTTGTCAATTTTTCTCTTACTATTCACCTCTATGAGGAAGTTCGATATTGCGAAATCAGTTTTTTCATATCCTTTATCCTGAAGTAAACAATAACTAAGCTTTGCAAGATAGCCTAAGGGCCTAAGAAAKAAACAATAAAACATCATTACTAGAGTATTTCTTTCATAGCCGTGAAATTAGTTTACTAATAAAAATTGTTCAATTTAGTGCGAGGTYTTGTAGTGAGGATCGACCAGCCTTCGGTAATAAGGTCAATATTGTGCTTTTTACTGGTCTAATGAATAAGCCTTAAATTGGTTTGCTTCTTTAACTGAAAAAACGTCCACCTGTAATGAKTGAATCACAGGAAAACAATCCTTGCTTGGAGAATTTTTAACGATATTAATTTTAAATCTTGAAGAAAGCTGATGATCGGTACGTGCGTTATGAGAGCTTGTATAACTTCACTCCCTCTTGTTTATCCCATCTCTCACTGAGTACGTGTCAATCTGTCATAAGAGGTCCTTTTAATTCCTATTTCCATTCCATTGTTTATTTTACCTTATTAGCGTAGTTTTTATTCTATTTTCAACGTACTGTATCCTTTGCATTGRCTGAAGCTCCTTATGTTAAGAACAATGTCAACGGGCGAATATTCAGTATCAAGAAAATAAACTTTTCTTTCTCTTTTTGCATTTTATTTTTATTCTTTTTTCTTTCTTGTAACGAAGTGCCAATAAAGTTATACATCGGATAAAAGCTATTCAATACATAGATTTTGTATGAGATGTTATCTGTTGGACAAGGATTGATCACCCTTCAAAGAACCGCCCTTAAACTGTTTCAACAGCAACCAATAGTTTAATAAGAAAAAAGGAATACAAGTCTATCAGCGTCGCCAGCGCCTTTTTTTTTTTTTTTTTTTTTTTTTGAGTGTTCTCTACTCAACATTCTCAAGTGGTTTATTTCATTGTTAAACCGCGGCAGTCCATCCTTTATTATTGCTTTTATTATGAAGCGAGAGAGCGAAATAAAAAACGCTTTTAGCCAATAAGGGCGCGAAGTAACAGTGAGTCTATATTATATAATTCTGTAGACGCGACAACATAGCTCTTCAAATACGAACCCATTCAGAAAGAAAGATAAATATTGTTTTAATAAAGCAAGACAAAACGAGAAAATAATGGGATTAAACAGAAAAAATGAGATAGGAAGGAAGGAATGATAGGAACGGAAGAAACAAATGACAAATGATATTTTATTTTCGTGACAAACTAATTCCAATTCAAATTAATAGCACTCCTTCTCTCTTAATGAACAGCTWAGGCGTTGTGACACCTTGAAACTTTCTTTCGAATCCTTCCTCGATTGACGTTTCGCGACAACGGATCATGCACCTCACCTTGTACAATCATCTCGTTAATTCGAGGCGTGGAAGAGCTACATCTAAACCATTTTGCACTTTTTAATTCCCTGTAAAACGTGTCTCTCGCTACGGTGGTCATCGAGGAAGCTTTACAAGAAATAAAGTATCGCTTTAACTTTCGCGTAAAATTGAAGCTTTTCTTATGAAAATTCTAAATCCAGATTTTCATCTTTTTATTCAGACTTATAAATAAAGATTTGTAAGAAACACAGGATGACTTCGTTTACTTAGTGTTAACGTTTATCGTTTCACAAGCTGTCTAAGCTGTTTTCTTCGAGTCAGAGTAATGCGATATCCCATTTTTCGTTGTTTTTGTTAAGTAGATTTTACTAAGAATCTACATTTCTTAGGTGATAATAACTCGATATTCGCTTTATTAGCCGTAAAATGACTAGCTATATGGTAATTTTTCATATATATTGATCAGCTTTGTAAAAAGGATTACAACTTCGAACCTGTCTTTCGGGAACTTGAAGATTACCAATGGGTCAAAAGTCTTCAGTGTTGTTGTTGTTTTTTTTTTTTGTTTTTGTTTTTTGTTTTTTGTTTTTTGTTTTTTTGTTTTTTTCGTGCAATTTTCGGAAAATTTGACAAACAAGATCACAGCAATCGATTTATCCTAAAATGACTAAATCTTTCGTTGAAAATGATCGTCAAATTACCGCTACTAAAAATCGATGGGTTGCTGGCGAGAAACAACTTGTAGCAGCTATGGTATATTATTCCCATATATGACATATCCGTTTTTTTGAGGTGACGCGTACCAAGAGAAAGCTATTTTATTTAATATTACATACAAAGTCAATTTATGTAGCCTCTTTAACAAAAACCTAGAACATTTCACCTATTACTCAACATAAGATTATCATTCTTTATTATGTAATATTATTCGATCTTTCTCCCTATCATTGATATCACTAAGCTAGAATCAGACATTTTCGTACATGAGATTCCACAGTGAATCCACTTATTTAATTCCAAGTGATGAGTRCAGCTATTAATTAATTATTCACACTAATAATTGAACTRGTGCTGCAAAWATGGTGGCGCGATAAGCAGTGCAATCATTACGTAAGACGTATTAATTAAAATCCACAGGCGGTAGTTGTACCACAGCTTGTACCATGGTTAACTTGAGTGAAGAACTATAACCACCCACTGAATCAATGAAGCTGTTGTATCATCCTGTATAAGCTCTCTGTAGTTTTCTAGTTATGTGAGACACGAAAATATTGTATTTTATTGATGYGTTTGCAGTGCGCAAAGTTCCGTTTTTGAAGTCTCTCGTGTTTTGGCTGAATATACTCCCCTTACAAACGTTCTAAAATCCCTGATGAAGATGAAATAGATACAAGGGCTCAAAGCCGAGTTAAGTGAAATTAGATAGCGGAAGACAAAGTTGAGGTTAATCTTCGGCTTGCACGGTATAATTTTTGGGTACAACTTGTCCAAAAGCATAAAAACATGRTATGGAGTGGAGAGTAGAATGAACGAGCACAGAGAACATAGCACCATTCTAACAGCACTTCTTATTCGCTCACTTCTTCGCTTTCTCTGCCGGCTTTCTTCAACTGTTATCGATTGTTCGGATTTCTTAAGTTTTCTCAGAGTTAGAAACCCAAGAAGAAACACTGCGATGTAGAGAATCACATARAATGTGAAAAGCCCTATAAGATAGTTTAAATGTCGAAGATTCTTTATAACAACACAATAAGGGATTTCGTTGTWATACGAAAGATCGACTCTGAAAAGTTCGACGGCGTAAAGTATAGACGGAATTATCCAGCACATACTAATRCAGCACCATCTCATTGAACGAGACATGCTACGCAGCGCTGTTTTCGACGACACACCTCGGTATCTTTCCAAAGTCATGAAAAATAAAGTATTAGGCGAAACAAGAAGTAGCATTGTTGTCATAAAGTTCATCATTTTACAAGTTATACGACCAGCTGCCCCTTGGATCTTCCAATGCCAATCTCCAGAAACCATTTGCTCGACGATGAAGATGTTAGTGAGTGAAGCGAGRAGAATGTCACTGATGGCCATGTTAACGATGAAATAGTTGATATTCTTTCGCATCTTCTTGTACTTGTACACGGGATATATTACCAATAAATTAAGGACGATTGTCACCAATAATATCGTGATGCAAGCTGTTGTTTTAGCGCTACGAGAGTACTGGTCGTCGAAACAGTCCTCCGTTSCTTGTCGCGATGCATTTCCAAGAATCGTTTCCATGCAAAGCTCGCTGCTGTTCTCTTTACATTTCGCCATGGTATCTTTATAACATGAAGGACTTTCCTCTCAAAACAAAACTGTCTAATTTAGAATTTAATCTCTCTCCCAAAGAGAAAARTCTTCCTTTTATCCCAGTAATGAGGTGTTTATCTTTTTAGCGGCAGAAATACGGACTTACCAGGTCGGCGGGAGAATTTCCCGGCTCAGTACTTTCACAGTTGATCTTTTCACGAATAACAGCAAATAACCATTAATAGAATGCTCTGGTTTGGATAAAGATGGTCAAACAATGTCAATATTGACGCAGTMAATAATAAATARTGCTTTCAAACAAGCTGTATTCCGAATATAAACTATAAAAGTTAGCCGAGGTGTTAGATGGCAATGCTACCAAATGATAAAAATCAATACGCGATAAATAATTGCAAGTGTTTTTTGGCAAATTACCAGTTCTTTGAAGTAAGTCTGTGGTTGACTTCAGAGCATGGCGGATTTCCCCACACACCTGCTAAGTTCTTTTTATTGATGTTTAAACCTTTGATGGATGATGTAATGCAGTGAATCGCCGGGAGACTATTCTACCAAGATAATATGATTGATTCTTGCTAATTGTATCATAAAAAATCATTCGAAAAAACTGCTTTCTTTGTATCTTGGTCTTTTACGTGATTTGTTCGTCCATAATCCCATGTGTCCACAGATGTATTTATAAGTTTAAAATTTAATCATTTGAAAATCGTACACGAGTCAAGCCGAGTTGTTTGACTTGGTTGTTAAGTTACCTGTGATGTAAGCAGTCTTGAAATGAAGGAARTGCGRGTTGAAACCAACTRCACATTCGCACGCTCGCGTGACAAATGGCGCGAAAAGTGTGACATTCTCTGATATATAGCCACTCAARAGTTTGAACCTCGGTTGATTAGCCTTAGGGTCTTGTTATTTGATTAATTGATGGTTTTCAATSGATGCACTAGATAGCCAGTTACGTGATTAGTTGTTTAATATTTTGACAATGAACTGACCAAAGTATTGCGAAAGCTCTAACCACCTCGAAATCCCATAAGCACGATATGCAGTCATTGGAGAAATTGGCACACAATTCGTTAATCGTAATCCTGTGGATAATCTGATTTTGTTAATCACTTTGCTAATTAGCAACAGAATGGATGACTGATCTATTGAGATTGCGAGATAACGAWACGTGACTAAAGAAAATTTAAGAAAACTATTTAGAAAAACACACAAGATCATGCATGAATTTCAGTCTATTTCTGTTTTCTTATCATTTTTTTTAATTTTTGAGGTATTTCTAGTATTCTTGTCCGTCAAAAATTGATTAAGAAATATTCTTGTCCGTCAAAAACTAATTAAGAATCTAAAATTTTCAAAGTTTTGCCACGCCCTACATTTATGCAAATTACAAATGGATTTTACATGTTTGAAGATGAATYATTTTTAAGACAGTTAACAATTAAAACTTGTTTGAAGCTATTTCCATTTAGAAGTTGAACAAAGTCACTTAAAAGTGGCGATTTTTAAGAGTCAKCGTCGATGATGAGGGTGTACAGAGGGGCCGACAAGAGGTACCCATGGAAACGATACACGGGCCACTGCATGACACCCGCTAGACTGATAAACAGTCCAGATGATTCTTTTGTTGGCCGCTGAGCAGATTTCGCATGACTGTGCAACGGCATGTATCACAGCACGGACAACACGCGCTCACGCTGCTCGGCACAGCGTGACTACAAAACCTCGCCTGGTATTGACGTCAAARAAAATATTAAAATGAGAGGAGATCATAACTGTAGTGTAGTACATTCACGGCATGGATGTGGCGCAGTTTTTATAAAATATACTTTAATGCATGGATGAAGAGAGTCAGAAAAAAACTTACTCTAGTTCTGCATATCTTATGATGGCGCATGTTGAAGTTCCCGCCATATGACCCTGAAAAACCACGGGGAACTCCCGCACATGATCTAAAAAGCTACGTAAGAGTTAATCCTTAATTRCCAAAAACTGAGGCATTTTAGGCATATTGACTTACTTAGTATTTACTTAAGGTTAAGAAGGTTTTCTCGATCGAGAATTATTAACTTRACGTTAATGACACAAGACATGATAAAACTTCGTTAACTAGAAATTAATGTGCGTTCTCAGCTCGTGACCTGAGTCAATTTCCTCCAGTGAATCCGCCGAGAGTTGGCATGACCAACACATGATAGAGAAGAGATATGGATTTTCCCGAATTGTTTTCGACCAACAAATTCACCTTGTGTTCTCTCAGAGAAGAAACTTGCAAAAAATATAATCAATCCTGGAACATCCAAACAACTCAGTGAGAGAAGCAATTTGCAAATCCTTGGAATGCGCAGGGAATTGCAGCTAACTTTAAACAAAGAAAACTTTGATTCAGCAGATTGATCACATATAATAGAGGATATTACATGGGCGCGCGGAGATATATAGAGGATATTACATGGTCGCGCGGAGATAAGGATTTTATCTTCGAGTGTTGAAAAGATCTCTCACGAGTGAGCGTAGCGAGATTTTCAACACGAGAAGGTAAAATTCGTATCTCCGCGCGACTATGTAATATTCTATTTATCATATAATTGTATATGAAAGCAAMTTATGTCGTAAAATACCTTTTTTCGTACTTCCACTATATAGAGAAATCTCGAATGTGTTCTTTTCATTAGTGAAAATACTAGTGAAAATATCAACTTTACGAAATGGAGAAAAATAGGTTTTTCATAGATAATTATATGATAAAATTTATATACTACTTGGTTTATRATATATTCCTGCATTTATGATTATGTTGTAATTCAAATCGTCAACCCCTCCTTTTCCTGAATATCAAATCCGGCCTTAAATATAAGTGTATGTTTAAAAATAAAGACATGAATGACAAAGAAAACCGATTCCGGTTTAAACTAAATGCAAGGATATCCCTACATAGCACCATTTCTGGCCATCATACCTCGATTTTAACTTAGTTTTAATGATTATGACAGTGTGTTTTGATTTTGTTCATCAAGGTCGTAAAACCGACGTTTYAATTTGAGCTTGCCGAGGTCGTGATTCTGCCATTCATTTATAAAAAGATTATGAATTATTTGACGTTGAAGGAAAGGACTATCCTTGTTCATTAAGTAATTTTGTAACACGTTTTTTTTTTCCTGTATTTTCTGCTCTCCTATCCATCTATAAAAACAAAGTGTAGCCTTGACGCTGACAATGACTCTCAGTGTTGCTGGGCAATCTTCTTAATAGCGTCCATTGATTTTTTTTTTAATGACCACTTTGGAGGTTACCAACAGTAATATCAGCTTTACTTTTTAATTTCTTTCTCATGTCGCCGACGTGATGCTACAATGCGGAAGGATTTTTTCCTATGGGGAGGTTTAAAGCCACTTGGTCGGTGCATCACAAGACTAGTTTTAATTAAAGGCGATGTCGCATTAATTCCATCTTCTGTTCTAGTTTCCGACATCGTTGGACAAGAAGACGCTGTTTGTTTCTAATCTACCTTTCTCCATTAAAGAGTCTGAAGTTGTGGACCTYTTCAAGAAGGTATGGGCTTCCTGTGTTTGGAAATGACAGTGGAAGACTGATTTTAGTCACGTGATCGTAGCTATGAGCATTATCTATCATGTTAGCCTTTTGTGTCGTTAGAGTTCACACACTTAAGAAGGATTTCTATAGATTTTTCAGTGGTCGAGTTGTGTGCAGGTGCAAGCAGATAATTGCACACACGTTTTAATTAACGACCAAAAAAATGACATTTTTTTTTACTTGGAAGCAATTTTACGCGTTGTTCGAGGGTGAACTGTTAGATATTTGTCTTCAAGTTAAGACAGATTGAAGAGAATCAWTTAAGCGGATTTCAAATTATATTAGGTTTAGACTGAGAAAATAATCATCTAATCGTTGTCATTTCCAACCTATTGAAAGATGAACAGAAACCAGAAACCAAACTCATATCGTTTATTTCATATTATTCCAAATCCGCTTAAACTATTTTCTTAGTACTACTCGAGATAKTAGGCAAACGAATGTGAGTCGCTTTATCATCTCACGTCGATAATGCCTCATGATATGAATCGATTGTATAACCCATTTTCGATATTCTGTTTGAACTGTGATACACAAAAGAATTGCCAAGGCAAGGCTTTGTGGAAACAAAAGACTAATCTTGAATTCCTTTGTGTGTGAACTACAGTCAACTCTCTCGTAAACGACCACCTCGGGACCAGGAAAAAGTGGTCGCTAAAGAGAGATGGTCGCTTACTAGAGAGTTTTTTTCAGAGTTTATATGGGAAACAATTATAACGGGAAATTTAAAAGGTGGTCGCTTAAGGGAGATGGTCGCTTACGAGAGTGGTCGTTCAAAGAGAGTCAACTGTATATCGAATATAGGCTGTTTTATGGTCGCAAATAAAAATTCAATCTAAAGAAAGTTCTCATCATTCAAATGAAATAATGTACGAGGTTTGACGTCAAAGATACATTGAACATTTAACCCTTGTTTCATTTTGTGTTTTTAATACTCTAGTTTTTCACTTACAGTCTCTATGGAATTGACGCTAAAATTACTGACCCTGTTGTTATGAACGAGCCAAGTTTGTAATAGTTAAATGAAGAGAAAACTACTTAGGTGGCTTTCATGTATTTGGACATGGGGAGGGGTGCGGCAGAATTTGACAATTCAGTCTATAACCTCCCCTCCCCTCACAATATTACAAATAACACGTTATAACCCCCCTATAGTATGTTAATCCCCTACAAAACAGATTTGTAACAAAAGAAATAACAGTAGAAATATGACAACATCAGTACGTAGTTTATGCTTAGCATCCGACTGAATCGAAGCTTTACTGAACGATAGTCCATCATTTCCTTCTTTCTTTGCTAGTTTGGTGAAGTTAAGCAAGTTCGTCTGGTCAGTAACAAAGCTGGTAAACCCAAGGGATTTGGTTATGTAGAGTTTGGTGACGAGGTAGGTTTYGATTGGTATTTCGAGATTGGCTGAATGAGCATCCCCCGAAACCCACTAAAGAGCAYCAGGGTTTCTGAGGATGTAACTAACGCTCAAACTGACTGCTTCATATGAGTACTTTTCTCTATATTGCAGCAAAGTGCTTCCAAGGCTGTAGTCGTCATGGATGGTTCTGTAGTTAGTGAGAGAACTATCTCGGTYGCCTTATCGAATCCACCAACTAGGAAACCTACGACTCAACCAGAGATAGCCTTACCACCCCCACCCCCTCCTGGAAGGTAAGATTTCTATCAGAAATTCCTTTAAATAAGTACCTCACGGCAAGCCAAATAAAGTGCTAAGTCACAGAAAAAAGTTTGCGAATTTTTTACAGCATTCCTTGAATAGAACTTACTCCACGGAAGATATAGACTCGTGATTTACATAAAATTTTGATTTTTGAAATCAAGTGGGGGCACTTAGATAAAGGTTTAACACGATTATAAAGACGTTCAAGCATTCACTTTACAGAATATTTACAGGAGCTCCAACGTACAGACTTTGTGAATATCCTTCTGTAAAATAGTCCTGTGACGTGAGATCGTTTTTATCGGTGTTAAACGACACTGATTTAAGCTTTAACGTCGATGAGTAGATAAGAATGAAGCACTAGGGCATGTGGGATATGCTTGGAAATKAAATAACGCATGCTTGTAATTTACTGATTACGCATGCTCAGTCACACAGCATACTGATGTATGTATGCTTTTATCAAGTCGAGGTCGTTCCAAGACTCAACTCGCACTCGTACCTCGAGCTTTGCAGAAAAAGCCAACAACCYCCTCGACGACTTCTACACCCTCCTCGACTCACACACCGGAAGACGCATCTTTAGATGCGAAAGAAGAAAAGAAGGCGGAAGATAAAGATGGAGAAGCGAAAAAGGGATTCAGTAATGACTATTTTAGTAAACTGATGCAAAAATAACTATCTGACTGGCATTTTATCCAGTAACTGATGTTAGGAAAAYACTTTTAAAAAGGATACATTTTATAGCAACCTTGTCGGGCTTTGTCTGGTAATAACCATACCTTATTTGGCTCCTTTGCTACCAKGGTAACGCTGTAATAAATGTTCTGTAAATAGAACCAATTGATTGGACAGTTGGTTCTCCTTATGTTAATAAGAAAAAAACTGACTTGGAGAACTATTGAACATCGTGTCTTTGCTCGCGTAGATGTAGGGCAAAATCTTTTGATTTACCGAAAAATTGATATAATATAAAACAAAAAATACACTGTAAAAGCTTAAATGGTATAACAAAGTTTTAATAACTGTACAACGGGTTTCATATTGCTACATCCTGAAAAATCTATAGTCAAGAACATTAACTGTGATAATACTTTACAGCTACCAGCGCCATCTTGAAAGGCAGACAAGCCTTTATATCAAACTTTAATGAGAGCAGTTGAGCTTGCTTGAGAGAACTGTGAATAATTGTCTTATTAGGTTTGAACAAAAGGTGTATAGATACTGCAGGCTCAACTCCTCTTTTGCTTTGATGTAGAGGCTTGGCTACATTTCAAGATGGCGGTTAGAACTATAAAATGGAGTATTGTCCACCATTTTTATTCGCGTTGRTCATCTCCAGCGCACTGTAATCGAGAAAGATAAAACATGTTATTGTTTATGATAATAAAAAATATATTATCAACTTTACTGTCGACACTTTCTTGTCTTTTATGGTGCATCTTTCTTTTCTTTTCCATTTCTTGCTGATGCCATTCTGATGCCTTTTCTTTAATTTATTATTTCATTTTAATTTTTTCTCGGTGTTCTCCAGTTTTCTTTTGCTATCTCTTTTATTCGGTGCTGTAAACTGTTGGAAATTAGAATGAGACTAGAAAAAAGGGGAGAAATAAGTATAGCAATTACCTCGACCCCGTTTTGGATAGGTACGTGCCGCCAGCGGTCTAAAACCCTGACCCTGTTTAAGACACTAGAAAGTAAAAATCCATACCCTGCTCAAGACAAATCGGAAAAATAAGGAATCGCTATCTACGCCGCAACCATCAAAACTGCAATTACACTGACATCCATCACTGACATCCATCAAAGACAATAAGAAGTTTTTGATAACACGTTAATCCTGTTACAGTGAAACGGTATTTCTTATGAAAATATTACCCTGTCCAAGACACACACAAAAAATTATATTGGTCTTTTATCTAAACTGTAGAGGCTGTGTAAGACAATTTCGGGTGAAATGTATACCCTGTTTAAACAGCAAGGCCAAAAACCATACCCTGGCCAGCGGCACGTTCCCGTATAGCAAATATATGGGAGTACYTCCCACGGGATAGTAGAGTACAAACATTAAATGTGTGCAACACTTTCCACTATTTACTACAAAATAGTGTTAATTAAACAATAGAAAACTATAGAATTAGCAGTATTTAGTGGTATKTATGTTGCAMAGTTTTAGTGTTTGATAATACTGCCAGGAATACTAGAGATGTTATTTCTTTGATCTCTGGTCATTCAATACGATTTGCCCTGGGGGGTTCCGCTTCAACATGCAGTGTGCTTATCCTTTAACATCCTGTTGTCTTGTTGACAGCAGGCCAAGACGCTTTCATTGCGTTTACAGTGAACAAGAAGTTCATAAACACGTCGATGTATTGGTGTTTTGATCGGTGTATTGTCTCATACGGAAACCAACGTTAGACACGATATTCTGGTATACCTGTCAATCATAAAGAGTAGCGAGAAACAGCTATCTGGTACCTTGGGGACGTTGTTTTTCTTGTGTTGTCAAGGTTAGTACGTCTCAATTTCRTGAGTAAATCACTTGCTGGGAAAAAGCATTCAGAGTAAAGCAGCTTATAATTCTAAAATTCGCTGCTATTTTTCTTTGCTTTAGAGCTTTTGACAGATAAATCATCCCATCAATTCCTTAGATCTGGAGATCGATTTAGGATTTGATAAACTCTTATCGGCCATGAGACCGTATTAATTGTCCTCTTTCGTTATGACGTCAAGACATGTCTATCATTTCGCTTCTTTCATCAGTATTTTTCTCTGTAGTAACGATAATCCTTTATGATCCAATAGCAGTCCTGTCGATAGCAGCATAAACGTGACAATCTTAGCATACATATGCAACATTCAGGTATTTTCAGGCTTGTCACTCTCATTGTCTACACTATGAAAGCCTGTTACGTCTTGGTCAGCATTCTGATCAGCTGCCAAATTCTCACTAATGTCAACTCCAAGAAGACTGGTGACAAGTGTAAGGTTCAGCGAATATATAATGACGTAACTATACTKGGGGGACTGAAGGCAGGATTGTACATTCCTTACGAAGGACCTGAAGGACTTGGCGACATGACAGCTACGAAATGTACAGGTAATTTAGTAMACCCTTCAAAATAGCAAAGTATATTTTTCTTTATTTTTCAATTAAAATCACAGTTTCGGTGTAATAGACTTTGAAGCTTTTACGTCACCTTTTTGATTTGAAATGCATTGTGGGATCTGTTTCTGAAGAAAACAAAAGAAAGCCGCCATGTTTTCTTCCTAACATATCCTACAATGCATTGCGTATGTGGTCCGTATTTCAAGCCATATTCAATGTCGAAACTTTTTAGGAATACATACACTGTATTACAATATGCTTTCTCTTTGCTTTATAATAGATTGAATATAATTTGATCATATTGCGCGTGCTCTATGTGATAATCGCGTGCGCGTTATTGTTACAAAAGAACTATACGAGACTTTGTTAATACGCAGCCGGATATTTTTGTATCGAAAATAAAACTTGTTTTCGGGAAACTTTGAATGCTTCATTTGTAGAGTGATCGCACTTAATCCGTGCAACTGTACAAACTAAATAGTGATGTTTAGGTATATTTGGTAAATCGTACATGCGATACGCAAATTAAATTGAATTGATACAAATGAAGCATTCAATAGTGTCTTGCTTCAGGTCCACTTTTAGTACAAATTAATACTACTTAGATTTTGTACAGTTGCACGGATTTTAACGCACTTAAAAGTGCGTTCACTCTACCGCATGTACGATTTACTAAATACAACTAAATAGCACTATTTAGTTTGTACAGTTGCACGGTTTAAGTGCGATCACTCTATGTAATGCGTACTTTTCAGTGTTTCAAAATAAGCATTTTATTGTTGCTTATCTTGCAACCCCCATTTCGTCGTAAAATAAAAACTCATTTCCAACTCTAAAGTGTGGACAGTGTTCTTTTACATATTTATATATTTTTTTCTCTCTTTTGTAGTTTACTGTTGCAAGAAGAAAAACGTTGTGGATATGGTTTTTCTCATCAACAAGTATTGTTATTGTATTAGTTGTTATTCAGCTGAACTGTGTAAACCAGTACCCATCAAGCCACCGAGGGGATTTTCTCCTGTCGTCATTATCCTCAACAAAGGTACGATAATTAATGCAGCCTGGTTTTTCACTACGACATAATCCCTATCACAAATAAGCGCAAGTTTAGAAGGCACTCACACCGTAAGATCCAACCTAACAAACTCAAAATTATCGAAGCGCAATCGCAAATCCTTCTGTTGCGCTTGAGACTGCGTTTGCTCTCTCTCTCTCTTAAGCGTTACTGTGGTGAAACGAAGCGCAGACAGTGTTTATAAACAACGAACATATTCCTGGTATATTGCCATTCTCCCATGACATAATTGGAGTAAAAACTATTCAAAAATGAGTTTTCTAGTATTATATTACAAAGAAAGCAAAGTGAGTTTTGAAAAGATGAAAATAAGAAAATTGATTTTCGTTCTTGTCTTATCGATTTTTCGCTTAGCAGTAAACCTCTCGACGTAACCTCCGTYGAAAATCGACGAACATAAGACGTCCGCAATGGAGGCTACWGCTCTCGACAAAATGYTTGTCAACACCCCACTCCCCTGTTACAAAGTTGGGATTCTTAAAAAGAAGCACTGGCTGACACTGATGAGAACCAGCTTTAATCAGGGGTGAGGGGAGGGGGATAATATCGCAGCGAGATGTTTGAACATTTTTGTCGAGAGGTGTAGCTGTTAGCTACATTTAGCTAACAGCTACTGTAGCTGTTCGGCTTGCCTGCATTTAACGTTTTACGTCTGCGCCCCCCGGCTTTCCCTTACCGTACAGACTTTTTCTCTGCTGTTTCTCCAGGAAAACAGTCTTACAAAAACAATCTTACAGGGAGGGAAATATATAGTCATGTTTTTTTTCTTGTTTGTTGACAACATTCGAAAACTWCAATTAAATCACGACWGAGTTGACGGCGAAACCCTCGATTTAGACAAACTATACGCGTTTCCTGACGATAAATAGACAAAATAGATAATTAAACATAATTGGTTTTGCTACCACKGCTTGTTTTTGGATCGACTCTCCTGTCTTTTGTTCAAMTTTCGTTTGAAWATGATAAGCAAGCCATAGGAAACAGTCTATAGTCACCTACAACAGCGTACCAATCACCATGGAAACGCTCCATCTCTAGWATCAAAAGAATTTCAGTGGTCACTAGAATTCTCACWTTYTGTTTGGTTCGACTTTTGCCAGCTCCAAATCAAAACACTTTCACATTSATCACGAAACATGGTTCTCCAAGAACAAATGTACAATAATTATAGGCTTACTTTAAAGTTTTGTTTCTTTGACAAAGCAAAACACTCTTTCTCTTSAAATCCTTGTGTATTGTCTTGTTATCGGGTTTTGGGAAAGTAGAATATTAAAAAGCAATTTTATTTGTTACTTAAATACCGCAATTGGCTCCGAAGCTAACCGCAAAGCCTTCTATATTATGTTTACAACACCATGTGGATGAATAGGCTGACGATGCCTGCTCTCCKTCAGACAATAAATTCAGCTCGTAGCTGCTTGCTYTCGATAAAACAAACGCGATAAAAAAATGCTCTAAACCAAATAATTCATGTGAATTTGTTTGGGTTGAGGAGGTTATCTTTAAGAATGCTTATTTTGCCGGGAAAATTGTTCGTCGGCTTTGGCGGTGTTTGCTTACCGATTTGTTAACTCGAAATTTTCTTATATCTTTTTCGTTTGTAGACATTCGATAAGATTAGGTCCTAACCACAACGGTGCTACGCAAAGCACTGTAATTGTGTGATCGTTACAATGAGGACGATATCCCGCCAAAAGTTTCAATAATTAATCACGCACATGCGYGCTTAGTGTTGATACGTTCCACCTTGTTTCGCAGACGTCTTGCTTCGTTCCACGCTTCTGCCAACTACTGCGATAACAACAGCACAGTTTACAGATCATTTCACGGTGAGTCTTAGATTACTTATTTCACACTGGYCATTGCAATTATGAAGAGTKTCCGTGGCGTTTTTAATAAACGCAAATTGTTATTTTGAGCATTTTGATCAGTAACTCTGATCCTATCATCGATCGTAAAAAAACTATGTTTTGAAATCGGCCGAAGTCACTGTGTATTTTTGAGACTCTTACTTAGAAGCTAATTGGAGATCAWRCTTGGTTTCGTGCTAGCTTAGAGCGGATTAGTAGGGATTTAAAGCCGATGAATATACCGCTGTATAAATCATTAATACATAGTTAGTCTTGTACAATTCCTTGTCGATAATACAAAACATTTATATGAGTCTCCATTTTTCTTTAAAAAAATCTATGTTATCACTCTTTTACCATCTCAAGAAGATGAGTTCAGTGTTCGCATAGCCGCATAAGTAGTGTTTTTCTTTCAACCTAATAAAGGTCTACCGAAGACGAAACATAAATATATCCAGAACAASACTGGACCTTTATTATTTGTTTGATACCTGTAATTAAACTTAGTTTAGGCAATTACATAAACATTCAGTTTGTCGTCTGGATTCTTGTGCTGTTATCAATTGTTTCTATATCGGGTTTTTTTGTTTATGGTTGAATGGATGAGTTAGCTAGATAGTTTATCGCAGTTGTCTAACTGCACTGATAAAACTTAATTAATCATGATTTCAATAACTAATAGTAGAAACAAAAAGATTTAAATCTGAAAACTGTAAACACAACAAGTTTAAATTCAATTGTAGTACTGTAAAAAGCAAAGAAAAAATACTGATTTTTAATTAAGAGAGAATTCTACAAGAGAGAAGAACAATTGTTAAGTTTTAGAATAAGTGAGATCTTCGTTTAGTTTCGCATCACCCTTTTTGAAAAACATAAGCTCGATAGGCCCATTGTCGTACAATAGCTTTACTGTGCAGAGCGTTCTATAGTATATGAGTGTCAACTAAAAGCCAAATCATATTGGGATTTGATCTGTACACATCACGTAAGTCTCAATACACTTCAGTAATTTGCATACAATCGATTGTATTATGAGATCACTATTCATGGTGTTATGTCAAATACAGTTTACACAAAAACTTCTAATTAATTATAGAGTCATTGAAATGAACTGTTGGGAAATCTTCGCTAAAATGCTTACGGAACAATTGAGTCGAGAAGATTCTGATCCTTAGAAATAAAACAAGCTTAAAACACTCAACAGGTGATAAGTAGTTTATTTTAAAGTATATCCGGACATGGGAGGATTCAGGGGGGGTTATTAGGCTGGTAGACGCCCTGTTTTTTTGGTTCAAATATACAAAAATAGAAAGTATGATATAAGCAAATAAATGAAGTCTGAATATGACTCGTTCTGAATCAACAACAACAATCTTCTTTATTTCAATGTTAAAACACACGTAGAGGGAACAAAACTGAGTATTTATAATCTTTATTTCATTTCCATATATTATATATATTTACATTTTTATTGCATATTTTCGTAGAAAACAATAGTAGATTTATRTTAATTTTTGTAGAAAAATATGCTTTACATTCAAGGAAATGACTAGAGACTAAGRGAACCGTAAGGTTTTCAAAGTTAGACTCTAGGCWGTTTAAGTTATAAKTTGATATGTAGCTTCACACACAACATATAGAGAACATACAATAAGCAGGGAAGCAATAATAACACACATGAAAAGGTGACAAATGTCACGCACAAAACAGCCATAAAACAGCCATAAACCAGCATCCATTTGAAAGAAATGTTATCAACATGATTTATCTGTTGAAATAGCTACCTGGATCCGCCATGTAATTTAAAATCCACCGGTCTGTGGAAGTACAAAGCCGACTGAAAAGGGCGTTCTAGAATTATTGAATATGTCATGTTTGCCGCAAGAGTAAACTGGCAGCATAGTAACCGTTGAAAGTTGTAGAAGAAGTGACTCCGCAAACTTAGGAAATTTCACAAAGAAATATCACGAGAGGAATGCTGGGCTCCACACATTGTCCTTTTCGACTTTCAAGCGATGCATCTTTGTTTTCAACAAACTTGAGAAAATAATTAAGTAAAATATGCTTGATGTTATTAGAGCTTAAGAAAACAGCACRAAATTTATGGCTGTTCTTTTCGAAATTCTTAGATTTTCGCAAAACGTGCGATCTGACACATGAGAGAGGGTTTGTGGGTAGACATGTCTTTATATGTTTGGTATTGTTTTTGTGTTTTTCAGACGGTTTTACCATCAGCGACCAGCCATGTATGGCATGAATCGACAAGAATCAGACGAACGACTCGGAAACAAGACGGAGGGCGGCAAACTGACAATTCTAAAGGTACAGTATWCGGGATGCTAAAAAYCGTCGATCTTAAGAAAAATACCCCATGACAAGAGAGGGAATGATTTCAACTCACATGCGATTCATGTCTTGAGGCTGGACCTTCCTCGACCCCAGGCCATAGCGGATGAGGCGAGCGGTACAATCTACATTTGACTGTGAAGACAACAAAAATTTATGATTGATAACAATTATAATTGTTGCTTGCTTTAGAAATTCACCCGTCTCTTCTCCACGAAGCACCACCCTCGAGTGGCTCGTTCTTTTCGTTATATCTTGTGTTTCTTATTTGGTGGTCTGATTGGTCTTATTCCGTACTTTATCTTCTTGGTTGAGCTGTGCAAAGGTTTGCAATATTCCTGTATACAAGAATATGCTGGTGAGATGTGTGGCATCTGGCACACTCTCTTTGTCAGTCTTTATTGTTGACACAGGAAGCCCAGTCTATGATGCCCGCAAAGAATTTTGGGAATGCTTTTATCTCTTTCTTCACTGCAGTCACGTGAGGTTCAGTCACGTGGTATTAACGTATATCTCGCATGACGTAATGCATGGCATACCATCTTTCAAAGATCTTTCAGTTTTCTTACTGTGACTTTCTTTATTCATCTGCATGATTTTGTTTTCCCCTTTATTTGAACCTGCTGCAGATTACTTCAGTAATTTTCTTTCATAAATTGATCGGTTTAGCTTTGAGCCCAAGTTTTCCATTTCACCTAATAAGGTTTCGTGTCAAATGTTTAAGATAAGAGYTCAAAAGTAATGAGTTATAACCATTTTGGTAGTACAACAAAAGATGGAAACTAAGTTATCGTTCTTCATTACCAGCGAGTCTTGCTGTCAAGAACGTCTATCTTCCTTCTTCACCGAGAGGTGACAGAGATGTACTTTCTTCAGGAAAAGGACAAGATAATCTAACTAAACTTCCTCCTTTCACGAGACCAAAAATCGGTACGACTTTCACTCTTTTTGCATGGTTTTAAGTTCATTCTGAAATTATTGGAGTTAGATTCTTGACGTCAATGCAAGATGACTTTGTTGTAGGATGATGTCGATGAAAGGAGGTGACAGCAATGAGAATGTGGTCTTTGTAGATTCAATTTTCAAGTGAAATTATGAAATATCTTAATGATCCACATATACATTCATAAACTCATTYATGACACATTTTGCAGCTAGTAATTTGTTTCTGTTGACCCATTATTAACAGAGTTATCAAGATAATGATAATGAAGAAATTTGTGGTGACTAAGACGAGTTTGACTATCTGTATTGCTTCTTTCTTAAACCTGTGCTCATTCTTTTGATTATATTTGTTTTTCAGTTACTCTTCCAGCGACGCCAGTGCCAACAACGCTAAGAAAAACACTTGCTCCAACCAGGCTTGCTGAAAAAAGCTTAACAGGTTCCCTCTCAAGGATTCATAAACCGCATGCTTTGATTTGTTGGATGGTACTTGTGGGTTGACTATGYTATATGTACTTGTGGGTTGACTATGTTATATGTACTTGTGGGTTGACTATGTTATATGTGGCTATCTATGGTTTTAGTGTTAATTGATTAGGTGTTTGATTTTCAATTGGTAGGTTGATTTATAGTGGGAATCTAGGCTTATGACTTGGGTGATTATAGGTTGAAGGTTAGCAGGTTATAGTTGATAAGTTCATTCGGGGTTGATGTAGTTGGTTGGCTGTATGTTGGAAGGTAGGTTTGCCTGATTGGTTTAATTTCATCATTTGCTTGCTTGCTCGCATGCTTGCTTGGCCGTGGCTGCTTTGCATGGCTTCTTGGTTTGTCGGTTGTGGCTTGTGGTTCGTTGATGTAGTTTGTTGGCCAGTAGTTGGCTAATGTTGTTCTATATGGGTTGGTTAGGTTTTCATTGATTTGTTATTTGCTTTCATTGGCTGGTCGACTGAGTGATTACTGTGATATGTTGGTCATTTCCACTAATGACGTCATGTTTGTTTTGCCGAAAAGCATCATGGTATTGAAAGTATCAAGATGGCGGACGTCTTTTAAAACCTACGAAWAAGGAAGTGCGAAATTCCTGACGTTATTCATTGTCGAGATCTCTGTAAAAGAATATTAGATGAGATACCTACGCAGTAAAGCATTAGTTAGACGACGTTCATATTGTAGAAAAGCGTCACTTCTTCTCATGGTCCTTTGTCGGTTTTATAAGATATCCGACATCTTGATCATTTTATCAATACCATGATGCACTTCGTCAAAACAGGCATGACGTCATTCATCTCTTTTATTTTTAATACAACAATGCATTGTTTATGGTTTTTTATCAGTCGAGGGGACTGGGAACGCTGATATTACTCTTCGATGTAAGGGCTCTATATCCGTGACAAGAGTACATGCGTTTGGGATTCCCGGGGACAAGAAGTCCATTACATCCTTCAACAATTACTGCAAGGCGAACCTGAAGAAATTAGACGCCACTAATATCTGTATAGTTAGTCTCAAACGAGTATTTAAATCTCAGTATCCTCCTTTCATCAAGACTAAAGTTAGTTATAACTGCAAGTATGTCACGCGAGAGCCTGCGTGACGATGTCATTGCGTGACGAGAAATAGTGTTGATTTTTCTTGACTATTAGGATCATATATGATTGAAAAGCTACAAATAGATATGTTTGTAAGAAT